CTCACGCTATTGGGGGAAATATTTGAAAATAAAATCTCCTATAGAGAAAAAACCTAGAAATTACATTTGAAACGAGGTAACTAAAATAATTAATAACAATAAATATCTGGAAGTTTAAGTATTAAGAGGGATCTACACCATATTAAATTTATCTTTTTGAGAGAAGAAATCTTTTCCAATAAACATCAAACCCAACATCTTCGTCTAGGAGATTTATCACTGGAACAACACCACGTTGGTAATCACTATAATATACACTCAAAACAAATTTAAATTAGTGGCACAAAACGACATCATTTAACTCAGAAAATATGCAACAGCTTACGCGCTAATATTAATAACTCGTGGTGCTTCTCAAATCACATAATAATTAAAGAGAATATGTAGTAACTAACATTTGACTACAAAAGAATTAAGTAAATAGCCATGGACTAAAAGTATGAGAGAGAAAAAGATATTTGCACACCATTTATGACACTTTTACCCAAACAAAGCCAATCCTTCATTATTTTTCATTCTCTTTCTCTTTCTTTCTATTTCTTTGATTTCTCCGAAACTACCACCACTTTCTCCCTAACAACTCCATTACAGAGATAACCACTATCAGATCCATAAGCTCTAATAGGTCATTTGTATCGAGCATCACATCCATTGTATCCACCACCACAGCCATGGCTTCTCCACTGTCGCTTCCTCTTGACTTCATCACCACTGATTCTCTTTTTTTTTTTTTGCTAGAATTCATCACCAGATTCACCATGGAATCTTTTCTTTTTCTCAATCTCTCTTCTTTTCATCTAATCTCTTCACTACTATATCTCTTTTTCTTTACCCATATCTTCCTATTGTCAGATTTCTTCACCACATGTTCTCTCTTTTTTTTTTCCTATAATTCTCTCCCTCTCATCTCCTTTGGTCGTTCTCTATTTTCCATTATCGCCGAATTTCTCCACCACTCTCCAGTGTGATAATAAAGAAATTAAATCTGATTTTAAAACACATGACTAGTTTTTAAAATGCATGTATTGTAAAGAAAAAACATGCTATTACCACTGATATATAAATATTTGTCACGCTATCCAATAAAAACCCATGAAAGATTTTAACAATTATATATATTTGTTAATACTTCGTGTTATTTAAGAAAATGGTATGTTTTTTTGTAAATATATCGTGTTATTTCAGAGAAACACATGATTTGTTCATCAGATTTACCATGAAATCTTTTTTTTGTTCTCATTCTTTCTTTTTCTCATCAAATCTCTTCAGTACCAGATCTCTTTTTAACAATTGTTTTTCCTAAAAATCTCTCCCTTTTATCTCTCTTGGTCGTACTCTGTTTTCTCTTCTCGCCGGATTTTCTCCACCACTCCCCGGTGTAATAAGAAATTAGATCTGATTTTAAAACACATGTCTAATTTTTAAAACATGCTATTACCCTTGATATATAAATACTTGTCACGGTATCCAATAAAAATCCATGAAATTTGTTAACAATTATATATGGTTGTTAATATTTCGTGTTATTCAAGAGAATAATATGTTTTTGTAAATATGTCGTGTTATTTCAGAGAAATACATGATTTGTTCAACAAGAATTATTGTAACTACTGCCATCGGTGTTATTGTAAAAACAAGAAAACAGAAGGATATTTTAGTATTTATTCTATTCAACAAAAGGTTATTACCTATGTTTTCTGACACAAAGCTATCGTCTTCATTCTTTTCTATTCCATGCTAGTTTCTAATATTACCCATAATTAAATTCTCCGTCTCCAGATTCTTCTTCTTCTTCTTCCTCTAAAAATATCTCACTCTCTTCGTGTTTTTTACTCAACAATGGCGGCTTCTTCTACTTTCTCGTCACTACTACCTTCACCACCGGCTCTTCTTTCCGACCACCGCTCTCCTCCTTCATCCATCAGATTCTCTTTTTCCTCCTTAACTGTTCCAAAATCGTCTCGTTTGGGTTTTACTGTATCAGAGAGGAGAAATCTCGCGGCGAATTCGTCTCTCGTTGAGGTATCTATCGGCGGAGAACGCGACCCACCACCACCATCTGGATCGGGTGGAGACGACAAGGGAATTGCATTACTCAAACTCAAATTACTTGTGAGTCTGATTTCAACAGTCGGTGAAATTCGAAGAAATTGGTTTCGTTTCTTTGGAATTAGGGTTTGAATTACTGTGTAGATTCGATTTCAGTTTGATTATATAGTCATATAGTGATCTTTGGGAAATTTTCCAGATTTAAGAGTTTTTGTTTATTATCTGTGTTGTTGTGTTGTGAGAATTGCAGAGTGTAGTTTCGGGATTAAACAGAGGACTTGTGGCGAGTGTTGATGATTTACAAAGAGCTGAAGTGGCTGCTAAGGAACTTGAAACCGCTGGTGGACCGGTTGATTTAACCGATGATCTTGATAAGCTTCAAGGGAAATGGAGGCTTTTGTATAGTAGCGCCTTCTCGTCTCGGTCTTTAGGTGGTAGCCGTCCTGGACTACCCACTGGACGTTTGATCCCTGTGACTCTTGGCCAGGTAATGTTGGTGATTCTTGAATCCATTGCTCTCTGTTTTTTACCGGTCAAGATTCGGTTTTTCGGGTAAGTTGTTGAGTAGTTTATGTGCACGGCTCTGGTCTATCATCATTAGTCTTGGTTGAGTTTGAATGGGGATGAGCTGAGAATATAGCTTTCTGAGGTTCCAATGTCGCAATGTCACTCGAAAGCAAACCATTTTCTATATTGCCAAGTTTATGAATACAGTCTGGTCTATCATTGGTAGTCTTGGTTAGGCTTGAATGGTGATGAGCTAAGAATCTAGCTTTCTTTGGTTTAAATTTGGCAAAGCACCTAAATTGAATCAGTAGAAACTAGAAAGCAAACTTCTTTAGTATTGTGTCATGTTTCTGAATCATAAAAACTGTGTGGAATCAGGTGTTTCAACGGATTGATGTGTTTAGCAAAGATTTCGATAACATAGCAGAGGTGGAATTAGGAGCTCCTTGGCCATTTCCGCCATTAGAAGCCACTGCTACATTGGCTCACAAATTTGAACTCTTAGGTTTGTATCTCCCTTTCTCTCATTACGGTTATCGAAAATTTGTGTAAGAGCAAAAATGTGAATCTGCATTTTTTGATATTTATGGGTAAAACAGGCACTTGCAAGATCAAGATAACATTTGAGAAAACAACTGTTAAGACATCAGGAAACTTATCGCAGATTCCTCCGTTTGATATCCCAAGGCTTCCCGACAGTTTCCGGCCATCGTCAAACCCTGGAACTGGGGATTTCGAAGTCACCTATGTTGATGATAACTTGCGTATAACTCGCGGGGACAGAGGTGAACTTAGGGTATTCGTCATTGCTTAAATCTCAAGCTTTGACATGTAAAAAGATAAAATAAATACTTTCTGCTTGTTGCAGCCTCATGATTTTTGTACAAATCATGTGAACAGGTGAATCATATGAATAAATTGCATGACTTTGAAAATTGCACAATGATATAGAACTTTCAAATTTTGCATTATAATGCAGTCTCTAATGAGTTATATTCTTGACTTTTTCATAGGTTGGTTGAGAACAGATTTGCAAAATATGTATCGAAGGTCTATGATTAACAGCAAAACCATATCTTGATGATTCAAAATATAGAGTTAACAAGCAAAGATGAGACAATCTTATACGAGAGAGCTAAAACAAATGGATTCCAAATCCAGCAAAGTACAAAAATTGCAGAAAATAAAATGAAACCAGCTTAGAAGAGAGATGTTCCCTTTCCCTTCTTGTCTCCACCAATCTCAAAATGCTTGCACCTCTGAACATAAACAACAACAAAAACCAACAATGTAAGCAAATTAAGTTACAAATCCGGTAACAAGAATTGATCAATGAAGAAATTCTTCTTTTCACCTTGATCGGGCGCTGCGAAAAGTGCTTGCAGCTTTGGCACTGAAGCCTCAGAACAATCTTCTTCGTGGTCTTAGCCTGTTCAAAAGATTTACAAGATGTCTCCAAGTAAGAAAATGTTTCCTCACAGCTCAATTTCAAGATTCTACTCCAGGGGTTCCCTAAAACTAGCTTATTCTAACTAAATGGGCCAAATTCAAAACAAGAAAACTATCAATACATGTTACATTACCTTCTTGTGGAAGACGGGCTTAGTCTGACCACCATAACCAGATTGTTTACGGTCATAACGACGCTTTCCTTGAGCAGCAAGACTGTCTTTACCCTTCTTGTACTGGGTAACCTTGTGCAAAGTATGTTTCTTGCATTCCTTGTTCTTACAGTAAGTGTTCTTTGTCTTTGGAATGTTCACCTTCAAAATTCATATAACCAAAAATGAAATCAGTTCAAACACATCAAATCATAAGACTAAGAGTTAATCAAAAACAATATGAAAACTATATGATATAAGATTAGATCTGAAAACAAATAAAAAACAATAAATCAATCAACCATGTATTGTTGTTCCTCAAAGATCCTAATCTTTGGAGAAGAACTTTACGAATTCTAAGTCAGCTCGAAAGAGAAGAAACAATTTACCATTTTCGCGTCTCTGATCTCCGGTGAAGCTTCTGTGCCGTCGTCGTTCCACTAGACGAAGTTGTTTAAAGAAGAAGAATTTATAGTACAATTTCTGAAAACCCTAATCCGACTTTGGGCCTTAGGTTAAACTAATAGGCCCATATTTATAGTATGTGGGTTAGAGATAAACTATAGGCCCATCTTTATTTTATTTTTTTGTGGCCCATCGTTAGACGTTGATGGGTTTTTTTTTTTTTTTTTTGAACAACTATCATCAAGAGTTCAAGACCCTAAAAACTAAAGTTGAAGTAATGAAATCAAAAGCACCGAAGACAAAATTCAGTAGAAAAAAAATGATTGAACAACAAATGCAAAGCATCAATCGAAACCCAATAGATATGTCAAACACACTCAAGCCTATACTAATTGAATCCTGAGAACACAATAGAAAGATTCCTTGTGAATAATTTAAGAGTGTTAAGCAAGCATATATTTCACATCCCTGGTTCACAATCATCAAAGGGTTCCTCTTTTCTCGACGCGATATAAAATCATTGGTCTTGTAATGCAAAGGCATTTCCAACAAAAGGGAGAGAAAAGACAAAAGTGTGTAGATCAATCATGAGAACAAAAGCAAAACCAACACCACCACCACTCTAGTCTAATCTTGATTATATAACACTCTCTTCTTTTTTTTTTCCTCATCTTTCATCTTCCTGTAGAACTTCCAAGACCCGCACAAGGGTATACCGCTCTCACGGATATATCTGTTTCTTTCGTCTTTACATGTTCAATAGCTGGAGGAGGTTCGCCTCCTCCTCCTCCTCCTCCTGCTGCTGATCCTTTTGATTTTTTCTGTCTTGAGTGTTTTGGTCCAACAGACTGTTCAGTCTGTTGAGGTAACTCTAACCCTGACCCTGACTCTGACCCCGAACCCGTGTTCTGTTCTCTCTGTTTGCCCGTGCTGCGTCTTGATTGCCTCACTGATCCTCCTACCCTTGATGGAGATTCTGCTGGTGAGTTGTTTCCTGTGGATGTTTTACGCCTTCCCTTGTTCCTATGCTTCTCCCCGGAACTCCCAGGTTTCTTGTTAGAGCTTCCCTTTGTCTCAGTCTTCGTGCGATCTTGAGACTTGAAATCATGCATCTACATATTCCCATGAAAATATTTGATCTAATCCACAAGCAAAACCTATGTAGAAAATGTTATATATATTGAGAGAGAAGAATATACCCAGCTTGGGGTTGTAGCAGAGGGCCCTTCCCATCCTATATGAGCAACATGTTTTACATCGGTCGGTATTCCAATCTGCATCTCTGGTTCCTTCTCATCCTCTACAACATTTTTTTTATAACATATAAGAATCTGATTTTTGGTAATTGTATAGACATATGTGAGTTTGTTTCGAGAATGAATAAACTCACCGAAGATACGAGCAATGTACCTCAACCCTTTTAATAGACCCTTCATTGGTGAGGTCATTCAACTTGCAGCTGCATACCTAGCTTGAACACCAAGCAACATCAAAAACCTTTTTTTCGTATATCTAATGTTTTTCTAGAGATTCTTCTTCTTTTAGGGATACAACTTTTGATAATGCAGAGATTGGCGGAAAAATAAATTGTTTTTGGGTGAATCCTATTGCGATAAGAATCTTAAGAAAAAAGAAAAAAGAACTTACATGTTTGTGGAGTAGATAAAACCCTATTTAACAAAGAAACAGATTCATATAGATGTGCAAGAGCTATGAGTTTCTGCAAATTTGAGAGGAACTTATTAAAAAACAAGAAGAAAAATCAAAACATTTATTTCTGTTTGGAGAAGAAAGAAAATGATACCTGGTTAAGAAAACTTGTAAATTTCTTATTATCTTCAAATCAAAATGCTTTTTTTTTTGTCTCAAACTATACTCGTGTTGTTATCTTGTTTCTTGTTTTGTTTAAGAGAGAGGTCACGTAAGAAAGAAATCTCAAATGTTGTCCTCTTTGTTCGATCACAAAGGCTCTTTTTTTTCTTGTCTATTTCTTTTTTACATATGCATAAGAGCTACGTGGCAGATAATTATTGGATGTAGAAGTTGCAAGTCAACGGATAGCCAGAAGATTTTCCCTTATTTGGTGGTTTCAATGCAATTTCTTCAATTCTATATTAAGCTGATGTGAGTCGTTTTTTCTGGCAAACGCGGGAGATACGGTTTTCTTTTTTTTAGGGAAAGCCAAAAGTAATCTCTAATCATCTTATTGAGCAAAAACAATATGCATATACCATTATAAATATATAAATATATATAGATATATTTTGATATATAGTTTGGTAATTTACTTATTTCTTAGTTATAACTTATATCTATAATTTGCGATAGTAGTTTTTAATATATAGTTTGGTAGTTTAATTCATTTCTTAGTTATATCTTTATAATTTGCGATACATATCCCAACAATACATATCCATAATAAATAGCAAAACTAAAAAACACACATGAAACTTTATTTGTTGAACAAATGATCGGATGTTTTGCCTTCACGCATCAGTTGTTGTCGTTGTTTTCTTAAGGTACTTAACGCCGAGCAACTTAAAGATACCAAACACAAGCACCCCGAGGACCAATGCAATGGCAATGCCTATTATGATTGTAATCCAGAGTTTCATTGTAAAATAACTTGAAGAGCTCTTGTGTTTTTGGTTAGAGATTGAGTTTGAAGTCTATACTCTATGTCCAACGTTTCCTACTTATCTCTCTTCTTATATCATTCATTATTATATATAGGACTTCTTCCTCTGCATGCATGGTTGAAAGAATCGCAATTGTGTCTAGTTGTAATTGGGTTTGCATGATGTGTATCAATAAGCACACAAAGCACATTAAACTTTTGAGTTACTTTATTAAAAATGTCTTAAAGGAATCTGATTTTCTTCAAAACTTTACTATAAAAGCTAATATCTATTTAAATAATTTTACCAATACAGATTTCCTTTCCATAAATAATTTTTTTTTTTTTGAATTTTAAAAGTTAAAATTTATAGTCTCTCAAATCTTGGAAATTTGTATTGTATATATAAATGAAATTAAATAAAAGGTCTCTTAAAAGTATAGATTTAATTTTTTAATTAAGCTATATGTATAAAAAATCACTATTAATGCAATAATCTAATGTTTATAATATCATCCCACATAGTCAAATTTTTATCCATAAATCTTGAAAAGCTAATTTCTGGTAGTTAAATGGTTTATCTTAAATATTATCAAAAAGACAGATTTCATTTCCATATTGTTTATATATCTTCAAAATTTTAATTTTAAATTTTAATCTCCCAATTAATGAAATTTTTTACCCCATATATAAATGAAAGAACTAAAAAACTTCTTAAAAATATATATGTTTAGCTTTAATTTAATCTATAATTTGCATAAAATATTCATGAATGCATTAGTTTAATATTTATCATTTAGTCGAATGTTTATCCCTAACTGTGATCTACGTATCATTAGGCAACCTCGACTCTTTATTTTGGGCATACCAAAGCAGGACCTTTATTTTGTAATTTTGTCTCCCTCGGCCCGTTGCTCTCTCGAATAAAATTAAAATTCTTTAGGGTAGCTTTTCTTTGATGGGTATTATCAAAACATTGATTCTAGGCTATAATATTCAAGACTTGATGTACACATTTTTTTTCTTCTAAGAATGTAAATATTTCATTAGAAAATAAAAACAATTTAGAGTTACAGGACTGTAGATTCTACAATTTGATCTCATCGCAAAAAAATGATAAAAATATGGAAGTAAATAATAATCGGTCCATTGATACTAACAAAAACTACTAACTCTTGAAGTACATGAAGCTATGTAGTCACAAAAATTATAAATTGAAAAATTATAAATAGCCAAACTAAAACGCATAAATGAATGTTGCAACACCAAATTATTGAACACACATTCCCCCCCCCCCCGGAGGAACACTGCAATGACAATAGCTAATGCCACTATAATCCATAGTTTCATTCTAATTTGTAAAAAAACTAAAGATGTCACCTTTTTTTTTGTTAGAAATGAGTTCGAAAATGGCAAAACGTTTCTTGCCTGTATCTCTTCTTACAACATTCATTTATGTACAGTACTACAATCGATTTTTAAAGGAATTTTTGTATGGTTGAAAGAATCACAATATATTGATAACCTGATATTGTGTCTAACACTAATTGGGTATGCATGATGTTTATCCATAAAACACAAAGCACATAATTTTCTAGATTTTGATTCTAGGCTATAATTTTCTAGATTTGATCTACACATTTTTTCTTCTTCTAAGAATGTAAATATTTCATTAGAAAATAAAAACGATTTAGAGGTACAAGACTGTAGATTCTAAAACTTGGTCTCTTCGCAAATCTTCTAAGAATGTAAATATTTCATTAGAAAATAAAAACGATTTAGAGGTAAAAAGACTGTAGATTCTAAAACTTGGTCTCTTCGCAAAAAAAAAAAAAAAGATAAAAATATGAAAGCAATTAATAATCGGTCTATTGATACCAACAAAAACTACAATTTGAGGTACATGAAGCTATGTAGTCACAAATTGGAAAAAAATATAAATAACAAAACTAAAACGCATTAATGTCACAAATTAAAAATTATTTAAATAATTAATAAAAGAGATTTGATCTGCCATATGTATGTCTCCTTCACTCATTAGTCTCCGTCCATGTCCTTGTTAATGACTCCGGTGCAATACAAAATGATAGAACACACTATCCCTCCGAGGAACATTGCAATGACAATAGCTAATGCCACTATAATCCATAGTTCCATTGTAATTTGTAAAAAAGACTAAAAGATGTCACGTTTTTTTTGGTTAGAAATGGAGTTTGAAAATGACAAAATGTTTCTTGCTTGTATTTTTTACAACATTCATTTATATACAGTACTACAATAGAATTTTAAAGGAATTTTTGTATGGTTGAAAGAATCACAATATATTGATAACCTAATATTGTGTCTAACTGTAACTGTAACTGTAATAGCCAAACTAAAACACATAAATGTCACAAATTAAAAATTATTTAATATTTCATAAAAGAGATTTCGTCTGCCATATGTATGTCTCCTTCACGCATTAGTCTCCGTCCATGTCCTTGTTAATGACTCCGGTGCAATACGAAATAATAGAACACACAATCTCCCCGAGGAACACTCCAATGACAATAGCTAATGGCACTATAATCTATAGTTCCATTGTAATTTGTAAAAGAAACTAAAAGATGTCACTTTTGTTTTGGTTAGAAATAGAGTTTGAAGTTGGCAAAACGTTTCTTGCTTGTATCTCTTCTTACAACATTCATTTATATACAGTACTACCATGGATTTTTAAAGGAATTTTTGTATGGTTGAAAGAATCACAATATATTGATAACCTAATATTGTGTCTAACTGTAATTGGGTAGGCATGATGTTTATCCATAAAACACAAAGCACATAAAACTTTTGAGATAAATTTAATAAATTTTAAGTAAAAGGAATCAGATTTTCATCAAAACATAACTATAAAATTAAGCTAATTTTTAGCAATTCACTTATCCTCTTACATAATTTTACAAATATAATTTCAGTTTTACATTTAGGTTTTCAATTCAATTCCACCACATAATATTTTAAACTTCTCATTGATTACCTTTCCATATATACATGTATGATCTTTATGATCTTTTTTTGGGAAAGCCAAAAGTAATCTCTAATCATCTTATTGAGCAAAACAAATATGCATATTCCATTATTTATATATATATTTGATATAAAGTTTGGTAATTTACTTTATTTCTTTGTTATAACTTATATCTATATAATTTGCGATACTAGTTTTAATATATAGTTTGATAATTTAATTCATTTCTTAGTTATATCTTTATAATTTGCGATACATATCCCAACAATACATATCCACAATACTAGCAAAACTAATAAACACACATGAAACTTTATTTGCTGAAATGAGATGTTTTGCTTTCATGCATCAGTTGTTGTCGTTGTTTTCTTGGAGAACTTAACGCCGAGCAACTTAAGGAAACTAAACACAATCACCACGAGGACCAATGCAATGACAATGCCTATTATGATTTCAATCCAGAGTTCCATCGTAATATAACTTATAAGAGCTCTTGCTTTTTGGTTAGCTATGGAGTTTGAAGTCTATATTCTATGTCCAACGTTTCCTGCTTATCTCTCTTCTTATATCATTCATTATTATATATAGGACTTCTTCTGCATGCATGGTTGAAAGAATGGAAAATTATTGTAGTTGTGTCTAGAAGTAATTGGGTTTGCATGATGTGAATCAATAAACACACAAAGCACATCAAACTTTTGAGTTACTTTATTAAAATTTTCTTAAAGGAATCTGGTTTTCTTCAAAAGTTTACTATTAAAAGCCAATATCTATTTAAATAATTTTACAAATACAGATTTCCTTTCCATTAATATTTTTTTTTATGAATTTTAAAAATTAAAATTTATATATAGTCTCTCAATTCTTGAAACTTTAATTGAATAAATGAAATTGATTAAAAGGTATTTTAAAAATATATATTTAAATTTTTAATTAGTTAAGCTATTTATATTAAAAAAAATCACTATTAATGCAATAATCTAATTACTGCTTACCAAATCATCCCACATAGTCAAAATTTTATTCATAAAGCTATAAAAGCTAATTTCTAGTAATTATTTCATTTATCTTAAATAGTTTCAATAATATAGATTTCATTTCCATACTGTATATATATTGTTTTCTAAGTTTAAAACTAAATTTCAAAATCTGAATTATTGAAAATTTTACCATATATATAAATGAAATAATTAAAAAAACTTCTTTAAATATATATCTTTAGCTCTAAACTTAATCTATTTGTCTAAAATTTCATAAAATACAATAATCTAATCTATATATACATTTTCGGAGACATTTAGACAAAAAAAACCTTGGCTTATGCATTTATTACAATTGAATGTCATTGACATTAACTGTTTAGATTTGAAAAATTAAATTAAGATATTAACAAAATAATTTATATCCTTAATTCTCTCTTAAATCTTATCTTAGCTTAACTACATTTGATTAATTGTTAATTTTCTAAAACATCTCTACCTAATTTAAAGATAAATATATTGATTATTCTTTCACTTTTAT